GCCTCCCTCTCTCCCTGTCCCCCCACCAGCGCAGCTCAAGTGCATAGACCTGACAAGCAACTCCATCTCACGGGCGGACGCGGACGCTTTCCGGCTGCTTCCAAAGCTGCAGGAGCTCCTGCTGCCTGGGAACAGGCTCACGGCGCTGCCCGAGCTGCCCCGCAGCCTCGTCCGGCTGGACGCCCGCCTCAACCACATCCCCAGCACCGGCCTCCGGCCCGACGCGTTCCGGGTGGGTGCCGGGCACCCTGGGTATTCCTAATGCACCAGGGAGAGGCGGCGGGATGAATCCCGGCTGCTTTGAGCCCCGAGCGGGTGCATGGAGCGGTGCGCGGGATCAGGGATCTTGTGGTCTCCCTGAGTGCAGCGTCTCTCTGCGTCCCTGCAGGACCTGACCCAGCTGCAGTTCCTGCATCTGTCTGACAATGAGCTGGACTTCATCCCGGCGCCCCTGCCACAGAGCCTGCGCTCCCTGCACCTACAGGTGACAGCGGCCGGGACATCCCTCCCTGTAACCCCATGCGTGGTCGGTTTCCCAAAGATATCACCCCCTTAGTCCTCCCAGGACCTTCCTCCCCTCCCTATTTCTCCCCTCACTGCCCTCCCAGAGCACAGGGCCTGCGTGTGAGTCTTGCAGAGAGCAGAATCCCACCCTTCCTCCTCCTCCTCCTCCAAACCTGACGTTGTCCTTTGCCCCCGGGCCCAGAACAACAACATCCGGAGCCTGCAGGAGGACACGTTCTGTGACAGCCGCGACCACGGCCACGTCCGCCGGGCCCTGGAGGACATTCGCCTGGACGGGAACCCCATCAACCTCAGCCTCTTCCCCGACGCCTATTTCTGCCTCCCGCGCCTGCCCACCGGCCGCTTCCACTGAGTCCCGGGGGCTGCGTCACGGCGCAGGGACGGAGGCAGGACAGGGTGGTCGCAGCCTGTGGGCAGCTCTAATAAACCCCAGAATATCAAAATCTCTGCAGGCCTCTCTTGTAGCCAGCAGGAAGCCCTTGAGCGGGTTGTAGATGCTTGGTACGTGGCCCTGGGCTAGCTGGGACAGGGACTTCCCTGTATTCCCACTCATTCCCAGCCCTGGCCTCTCGGGAGACTGAGCAAGACCCCTCTGTGTCTGCGCCTGGGATTTCCTGGGCCTGGATCAGGAGCTTTGTTGCTCCAGAGAGGCAACAATTTGGCCACATGAGATTTGATCTGCATGACCAGGCTGTCCCTTCTGCCCTCCCCACTGCCTTGGCAGCATTTCTGTTGCTCCAGGAGAGCATTTAACATCCAGATGTGAGCAGCGGCCACAGCTGGAGCATCTGCACGTGCTGCCACGGGCCTCCAAAGAGGATGCAACAGGAGATGCCAACGTGGGGGACCAGGAGCCCCTGTCACCTGCTGCAGCCCCATCCCTGATCCCAGCTTGGAGTCTGGCACTGCGGTCGGTGGCTGCCCAAGGTCCCCCCATTAGCTCTGCCCGCGGTTTGGGTTCCCTTGGCCGCAGGGGAAGGCTGTGTGGAGCCAAGTGTCCTTGGAGCCAGCAGAAAGAGCCGCTTTCCCTTTGGAGGCAGTTAAAACGCCTCATATCATCCCAGCTTTTAAGATCTGAGCGAGCTGTCCAGTGGGGGGGGGATATTTTAGATATAATGTATTCATCCGCTGTATTTTTATACACATGCAATAAACATGCAAACCGTGAGAGGGATGACACATCCCTGGAGAATCCAGAATACTGAACTGAAACCACTGAGCTCAGCCCACATGCTCCAGGCTCGGGGAGGCAAAGGCGGCTTGAGAAAACCTTGCAAGAGGAGCCAGCTCCTCCTACGAGGGCCGCTGCAAACGCGGCTCCGTGCGCTGCATGGGCCCGCGGCACGCGGGGCGCGATGGCACGTGCCACCCCGCGCTGGGGACACGCGCCCTTGGCCCCAGCAGCACCAGGAGGAACTTTCTGTGCTTGCAAGTAACGTGCAAGGCCGGGTTGGAGCTGCCTCCCGCGCTCGTCTTGCTCGTGCAATGCACAGAGCGGGGCTGCTCCGCTCTGCTCCCCCTGAGTCAATGGAAAAAGCAATTTTGTCCTGTTCCAGTCTTTCCTTTGAGGGCTTATTGGCCTTGTTGTCATGTCGCCCTTGGAATAGCAGTATCTACCTGTTCCCTGCCTATGTCCTCCTGTGTTTCTCCATCTCTTTCCATCCTCCTGATGGTCCCTCAGCCCCAGGGATATCTCCTGCTCCTGAAGGATGAGATGGAGCCATCAGGCCGGGGAGCCAGTCAGCTTTCCCGTGCTGGGCCCCGTCCTTCGCCTTCATCCCGCTAGATGGCAAGACGGAGTATTCGGCAATGCCAGACCCCAGCTCCGGACTCTCCCAGCTGCTGCTGGATTCTCCCTCCATGGGCACAGGCGAGCACGGAGCACAGGTGCCGGGAAGCTCTGGTGCAGGTGCTCCCTGCTTGCTGGGAGGGATTAAAGGGAGCTGCAGGAAGAGAAGGGTTTGGATCATGGAGGAGTGGGAACAGCACAGGGTGTCCCCGAGGGAAGGAGCTGCTTGTGCTGCAGCCAGTTTAGTTCCCTGCTTTGTGGTTGCATGAGAAAGAGGGGCAGGATGTGGATGCCTGCGCTGTGCCTGCTCCCTCCCTGTGCTGGGGACACTGCAGTGCCCTGTGGCATGTCCTGGTGCCCCCTCCTTGGCCGGAGAGATCCTGGCTCCTCTCCATGTGGTGATGCCCGTGGTTCTGCCCACGGGGGCCTTGGGACAGGGTCACGAGGGCTGCGAGCGAGTGGCTGCTGGGACAGGGGCCGTGCAGTGTCCTGCATGCAGTGACATGCTGGGACACACGCGCTTCCTTGTACCCCCCTGGCTTGTGCAAGAGCCCAGCATCGCCCCAAGCTGGGAGCGTTTGCAAAGCAACGGCCACCCCAAGGACACCAGCACAGGGAACAAGGACGGGTGCTGCAGGCTCTGCTTGCACAGGGAGCTGCAGCCTTGCTGGCCAGGGTGGACACAGAGCAACGCGTGAACCCAAGGTACTCGGTTCCCCCTTTGCGGCTTCCCTGTCCCCGGCATGCGGAGGGTGCCCTGCTCGTGGCTCTGCTTCCTCCCGGCCCTTGCAGGATCCTCCTCCCTGGGTAATGCATAGTGCTCTCCTCCTCCTCCTCCTCCTCCTCCTCGCCGTGTCTCGGCTGCTCAAGGTCACCTTCCCGCCTGGGCTGGATTTTCACATATTGATTGCTTGGCTCCGGCAGCCGTCGGCGCAGCGAGCGCCCCGGCTCGCGCCAGCTCAGCATCTTGCTGCTCTCCGGGAGAAACGGCTCCATATGGCCCCCCTTCCACCATCCCAGCGGGCTCCAAAGCCGGGAGCAGGGAGAAAAGGAGCCTCTTCCCTTGTCTGGGGCAGCTGCTCTGCCCTGTTATCCAGGGTTTCCCCTATCCAGGGAGTGCTCCCAGGTGCTGCCCCAGATCCTGGTGGCCCTGCCTTGTGCCCAGGGCATTCGCTGGCCACATGCAGAATCAATGGCAGGATGGAAAAAAAAGGCTCCTGGGCTGCGGATGATGCCAAGATCCTGGTCTTCTCCGGGCTAGAAATCACCCTTAAATGCTGCCGGGGAGGAAGCGCAGGGCCCGGCTCGCTCAGTGCACGGGTGATAACAGCTTTATTTATAGCACTGAGCGGGTTGCTGGCTCAAGGCACCGCTGGGCGCTCCGTGTGTGACCGCAGAGGGCGGCTGCTTGTGCCGCTCGCAGCCCCTCCGGGTGCCCATCACCCGGCGTCAGGGCAGGACCCCGCGTGGCCGTGTCCTGGGGGGACAGGCACTTCCATGTTCATCCCAATGGCTCCTTTGCCACCTGTTTTTGCACCACATGGAGCAATCCTGATGGCCCCTTTGGGCTCCTGTGGGGTACATGACCCTAATACTAATAAGGCTAATTAATCCTGGCCACCTGGCATGGCCCATGTTGCTTCTCAGCTCCCAGATCTGTCCTGGTTTTCTGAATGTTGCAGGAGCATTGGGATTTCCTAGGTTGGAGCTGCATGGGCACTGCGGAAGGTGCATTATTCCAGGATAAAAAACACTGAGAAATGAGAAAACACATTCCCCCCCACCCTTTTCATATCCCTCACCACCAAGACTTGGCTATTTAATATATAAATAATGTATAAAAACCCATCCTGCTCCTTGCAGCTGGCCACAGTTCTCCGGTCCCAGCTGGAGCTTTTCTGGCCCTCCGGCACCCGGCTGCTCCGGAGCAAGACAGTGCAAAACGGCATGCAATGACCAGCTTGGGATGGGAGCCCATCACCATGGCCTCAGGGCTTCCCCCCAGCTTCCAGGAAACCCCTTCCCTGCTCCCATCTTTGGCTTTTCCAGGTGATTCCGATCTTTTTCCCGTGGGGATCGGGCCACTTGTTGCCCCCAGAGCAGAGGGTCCCGGGGGGATGCGCGAGGCAGCAGCTGGTGCGTTGGCGTGCCGGCCACCCCGCTCCCAGCCCTGATTGATCGCCGCCTTTTAAAATAAGCAGCCAGAGCCTGGATCTTCCGTTTCTGTAGGATGCGGAAAACCTGGAGAGGGGGAAGAGAGAAAAAGCTCTGAGCGAGCGCAAGTATTGCTAATTTATGATCAGAGAACGATGTGTCGGAGCGGGAAGGCGGCGGGGAAGGGCCGGGTGCTCAGGCGGTGATGGGGCTGTTTGATGGGGATGGGGGCTGCAGAAAAGCTCCCCCCGGGCACATAGCAGCAAAGCAGGGCAAAACTACCCCAAATTCCAGCCTGTGTGATTACCTCCTGGCACCTAAAGGCTTTGCTTGACCTTGTCCTTGGAGGGAAAGGACATGGGGTTTGGAAAGGACTTGGGGGCTGCTGCCATCCTGCTCTAAGCCAGAGCCGCCCTTTGGTGCTTTTTCTGGGAACTCCGGACCTGTGGGTGGGATTGCTGGGGTGGATTTCCCTGGTGGTGGGGCAGAAGGGTTGCAGGAGCAGGGTGCTGGGTCCCTGCACCCCGAGGATGCCGGCGGACACCCGTGGCTGAGTGACACGCGGCGGGTGACGCTGTTTTGCTGCAGCAAGCCGTGGGTTGCTTCTCTAAGCATCGCCTGCCGCCGAGCCGGGCAGCCTCGCGGGCGCATTAGGAAGCGCTGCACATCCCGAACGGATCGCTCGTGCGGCGCCGCCGCTCCTCTCCATCCTTGCACCGTCCTTCCCAGCGCAGGCGAATCCCAGCGCGTGCGGTGGGATGAGCTCCACATCCCAAGCGCCTCCCTGGGCAGCTGGTCCCCGGCTGAGCTGCCACCTTCGTGGAACAGCGTCCGCACACCGGGACAGCAAACCTGGCTGCTGGAGATAAGAGCACAGGCAAAAACCACTGCTGGGGTGGCACAAGACCGGGTACAGATTGGGGCTGGGTCTGGCTCGTGTGGGCATTTCAGTTGGGCTTCCCTCCAGCACCAAAATTCCCCAAAATACAGGGAAAGGAGAAGCGGAGCCTGCAAGGGCTCTGGTCTCTGCTGACCCTGCACCCAGGCTTGGTGGCCGGGGACAGATGGATGCCGACGCGGTGCACACGGACAGGGCTGCAGCAGCGTGTCCCCTTGTGACCCCGTTGGGTGACGGATTCCCAAGCGAGGGGCTCTGGAAGGTCATTAGGTGGCTCGGCCAAGTGGCTAATGAGGCCCGGGGGTGGCTCACGTGGCCGCGCGCCCATCGACGGCTGCGCTTGGGAATTATTGGATCGATGCTGCCGGCTCCGTGCGCGCCGCTGACGACCGGGAGCAAATCTCCTAATTTTGGGTGCTTTAAGCCAAGATTAGGGCATTTCCATGGCCGAGTAGTGCTGCTAGTGCACACTGATGCTCCTCTCCAGAGGGAGAAGCCTTGGGAAGGGCAG